AAATCCTCTTGTCTTGCATCCTCGTATTTCCGTCGAGAAGCCGCTTGACTCACTTGAATCTTCATGGCTGCTCCGGTCGTGGGAGAAGGCACAAAACAAAACGTTGGGAGGTGCCGGATGCCAGCCATCCGTTGCAAGCTCAGCCTGCTCTTGCGCTGTGTTCAGAGTATATCCGCGCTAGGAGGCTGCGTGAGGCTGTGAGGGCACGACGTGCAACATCCTGCAGCAGTACCATGAGCTTACTTCCGCATCGGCCGGCGTCTATTCATCACGGGAGGTTGCCGCCAGGGTCGTGCTAAGAAGAAGCAAAGTTGCAGATGTTTGCAGAGGCTGCCATGGCAAGCTTAGTTCATTGGTCATTTTGATGTAGGCGGGGTGCCTAGACACAGCCAGCCTGGTCGGCTTGCTCAGAGCACTTTGTGTCAGCAACTCTCTCTGCTTAGGTGGAGCTGGGCAGAGCGGGGAGTGATCCCAACTAGGTCCTATCTAGGTGTAGAAGCGGGTATCTGCGAAGGTTGCCCCCGCTTCAAGACTGAGGGGACGAGGGATTGCGGACTGAGGGCAGGGCTCTCAGACTCCACCTTGTTCCAAGATGCTCCACGCACTCCGTCTTGGCTGAGCACATCCCCCACCCTCGGTTCTATAGGTGCCTCGTTTCCAACTTTCAGCCGCAGGTTCGTCGATTCAGCCAGCCTTACCTGAGCATTTACTCGGCACCTCTTCTAGCTTTCGAAGGCAAATCTCGGCAGAAAGCCGATAGGCGTGTTCAACGCGTTCCCTGGAAGACGGTCCATCGGATTGGGCATGAAGCCGTCCCAATCTGACCACCCCGTCATTGTTGAAAGAGCCAGCAGCTTCCGAGAAGCAGGTGCGCCAGAACTGCCATAGCAGATGAGCAAGAGGTTTGATGCACTGTCGAAGAGAACCATTTTGGTTGCTTTGCCGCCTGGCACAGGCAAGTCTACCTGACCGTCCTGCTCAACGAAGCACTTGCAAGAAGGGTCGACCCCATGGAGTTTGTCGAACTCCATCTTGACAGATTACCTAAGTCGATTAGCTACAACGCAGGGAAATTGAGAGAGGTGCTGGGATTTGCACCTCCTCAAGTTCAGTACTTCGCAGATGCTGATGCAGTAATTGAGTCGTCCGACCCGTACTGGCAAGACCGTGCTACCAAATAATGAACTCGGTATACGAAGGGCGCGCGCCACCCGGAGCGTACGAGGAGCTGGTCCTGGATTTTTGGGAGCAGGCCCAACCCTCACAGATTCCGAAAGTCCTCCTCATGAACGATTATGGAGGTCAGGTCGCTCCATGGTTCACTCTAAGAGCCAAGCTGCCATTTGCAGAAATGGAAGGCCGGTGGAGAGGCAGAATGTCGCCGGAATTTCCCGAAGATCAGGCAGAAAATATGATTCGCTGCTTCCGCAGGGCATGGCACAATCTGTCCGGTGAGATCCTTGGCTTTCCTGATATTGCACACGCCCTAGTTCGCCTAGCAATGTCGGCCTGCTCGGATGATTAACGGCTGGCAGCAGGATCCGTATCAAGTCGCAGCACGTGAGCCTCCGGCCACATTCATGTCGGCGGATCTTCCAGATCATGCAAGAAGCAAGATGGACGGCGCCGCCGTAAACACGCTTGCTTCTATGCTTGTCTTGGCCACGCAGGGGCGCGCCGTGGTTCTTGTGCCGGCACAGTGATTCAATGAAGGCAGCCCCTTACGCACATGCCGTGCGAAAGCTACAGCCTCCCTGCGCTTGCAAGCAGCAGGGCATCGACCGCTTCGGCGGATTTGGGCAGAGATGGCAACCATTAGCGAGGGCTTCTCAGCAGGGTCTTCTTTACCAGGTGGTCGCACCTAGAACTGGTAGTACTGACGAGCATAGTTCTCTAGGTTCTGGTCCTTCTGTGTGTTCCCAAAATTTCGGGAGCTGCTCGTTTGACGTCGCCCCGGACCATGCAATCCGGCCTTGGCGCTATGACAGTGACAGCTCAAGGCCAACGCAGAACGGCCTTTGTTCAAGAGGCGCCCTTGGCGGAAAGCTGATGGGCTCGTTGAAGAGGGTCCCTCGGATCGGGCATGAAGCCGTCCCAATCTGACCAGCCCGTCATTGTTGAAAGGGCCAGCAGCTTCCGAGAAGCAGGTGCGCCAGAGCTGCCAAAGCAGATGAGGAAGAGGTTTGATGCACTGTCGAAGAGAACCATTTTGGTTGCTTTGCCGCCTGGCACAGGCAAGTCTACCTGACCGTCCTGCTCAACGAAGCACTTGCAAGAAGGGTCGACCCCATGGAGTTTGTCGAGCTCCATCTTGACAGATTACCTAAGTCGATTAGCTACAACGCAGGGAAATTGAGAGAGGTGCTGGGATTTGCACCTCCTCAAGTTCAGTACTTCGCAGATGCTGATGCAGTAATTGAGTCGTCCGACCCGTACTGGCAAGACCGTGCTACCAAATAATGAACTCGGTATACGAAGGGCGTGCGCCACCCGGAGCGTACGAGGAGCTGGTCCTGGATTTTTGGGAGCAGGCCCAACCCTCACAGATTCCGAAAGTCCTCCTCATGAACGATTATGGAGGTCAGGTCGCTCCATGGTTCACTCTAAGAGCCAAGCTGCCATTTGCAGAAATGGAAGGCCGGTGGAGAGGCAGAATGTCGCCGGAATTTCCCGAAGACCAGGCAGAAAATATGATTCGCTGCTTCCGCAGGGCATGGCACACTCTGTCCGGTGAGATCCTTGGCTTTCCTGACATTGCACACGCCCTAGTTCGCCTAGCAATGTCGGCCTGCTCGGATGATTAACGGCTGGCAGCAGGATCCGTGTCAAGTCGCAGCACGTGAGCCTCCGGCCACATTCATGTCGGCGGATCTTCCAGATCATGCAAGAAGCAAGATGGACGGCACCGCCGTAAACACGCTTGCTTCTGTGCTTGTCTTGGCCACGCAGGGGCGCGCCGTGGTTCTTGTGCCGGCACAGTGATTCAATGAAGGCAGCCCCTTACGCACATGCCGTGCGAAAGCTACAGCCTCCCTGCGCGTGCAAGCAGCAGGGCATCGACCGCTTCGGCGGATTTGGGCAGAGATGGCAACCATTAGCGAGGGCTTCTCAGCAGGGTCTTCTTTACCAGGTGGTCGCACCTAGAACTGGTAGTACTGACGAGCATAGTTCTCTAGGTTCTGGTCCTTCTGTGTGTTCCCAAAATTTCGGGAGCTGCTCGTTTGACATCGCCCCGGACCATGCAATCCGGCCTTGGCGCTATGACAGTGACAGCTCAAGGCCAATGCAGAACGGCCTTTGTTCAAGAGGCGCCCTTGGCGGAAAGCCGATGGGCTCGTTGAAGAGGGTCCCTCGGATCGGGCATGAAGCCGTCCCAATCTGACCAGCCCGTCATTGTTGAAAGGGCCAGCAGCTTCCGAGAAGCAGGTGCGCCAGAGCTGCCAAAGCAGATGAGGAAGAGGTTTGATGCACTGTCGAAGAGAACCATTTTGGTTGCTTTGCCGCCTGGCACAGGCAAGTCTACTTGACCGTCCTGCTCAACGAAGCACTTGCAAGAAGGGTCGACCCCATGGAGTTTGTCGAGCTCCATCTTGACAGATTACCTAAGTCGATTAGCTACAACGCAGAGAAATTGAGAGACGTGCTGGGATTTGCACCTCCTCAAGTTCAGTACTTCGCAGATGCTGATGCAGTAATTGAGTCGTCCGACCCGTACTGGCAAGACCGTGCTACCAAATAATGAACTCGGTATACGAAGGGTGTGCGCCACCCGGAGCGTACGAGGAGCTGGTCCTGGATTTTTGGGAGCAGGCCCAACCCTCACAGATTCCGAAAGTCCTCCTCATGAACGATTATGGAGGTCAGGTCGCTCCATGGTTCACTCTAAGAGCCAAGCTGCCATTTGCAGAAATGGAAGGCCGGTGGAGAGGCAGAATGTCGCCGGAATTTCCCGAAGATCAGGCAGAAAATATGATTCGCTGCTTCCGCAGGGCATGGCACAATCTGTCCGGTGAGATCCTTGGCTTTCCTGATATTGCACACGCCTTAGTTCGCCTAGCAATGTCGGCCTGCTCGGATGATTAACGGCTGGCAGCAGGATCCGTATCAAGTCGCAGCACGTGAGCCTCCGGCCACATTCATGTCGGCGGATCTTCCAGATCATGCAAGAAGCAAGATGGACGGCGCCGCCGTAAACACGCTTGCTTCTGTGCTTGTCTTGGCCACGCAGGGGCGCGCCGTGGTTCTTGTGCCGGCACAGTGATTCAATGAAGGCAGCCCCTTATGCGCATGCCGTGCGAAAGCTACAGCCTCCCTGCGCTTGCAAGCAGCAGGGCATCGACCGCTTCGGCGGATTTGGGCAGAGCGGGCGATCCCCACCAGTCGTGTAATTGGCATGCAGAAGCGTTGCCCTTGTGAATCTAGGTCGTGTGGAAGCATTCATCCAGGTTTAACCCTGCCGTACACGGCTCAGTGCACACTTGCGGCAACGGACTGAGGGGTCTGTCAGACACGGTCTTGTTCCAAGGACCTCCAAGGGCTCCAGTTGCCTTGGCTGGCAATATTCCTAGTTTGATGGCCACACAATGCCACACAGCCATGCGCCAGCGCACATTTTCAGTCGGTTGTTATTGGGGCTTCAGGCTGCTGTGTAGCTGGGGCATGTTGGGCCTTTCCGCCCCAGCGAAACTGGCTTCAGACCACCGGCACCCTTGCATGAATCAGTAGGCAGAAGGTGACGGTGCGAGATCCAACCCAAAGCGGGGCAGACGAAGCGTAGTATGGCCCTGGACAGGTCAGCTAATAGCATCGCTTCCAGTTTCCGAGGCTGAAAGTCTCGCCTTATTAGCCGCGAGGGCCTTTGTTCAAGAGACCCTGCGAGCGCATCGCAGTTGTGCTGCTGCGGCGCACGTTCCGTGTCAGGACTCCAGGACATGTTGATGCCAGGACACGGAATGGGGCGTTCCCTAAAGTGCCCTAAAGTCCTAAAGTTCTAAAAGAGGATGCTCAATCCTCCAGACATCAAGGAAAGTGATCAGTGCAGGGCCACGTTTGAGCCAAGTGCCAGGAGACGCGGCAACTTCCGAGGTGCTGATGCGCTACATCTGAGCAAGAGATTCAAGTCATTGTCAAAGAGGGCGATTTTGGTTTCATTAGCTCCCGGCACAGGCAAGACTACCTTGACCGTCCTGCTCAACGAAGCACTTGCAAGAAGAGTGGATCCAATGGAGTTTGTCCAGCTCCATCTTGGAAGATTGCCTAAATCCATGTGCTATCATGCTGGGAAATTGAGAGAGGTGCTGGGATTTGCACCTCCACAAGTTCAGCACTTTGCAGATGCTGACGCAGTAATTGAGTCGTCCGACCCGTATTGGCAAGACCGTGCTACAAAATAAAAGACTCCATGAAGGCAGGGCAAGCGACACCCGGAGCGTACGAGGAGCTGGTCCTGGATTTTTGGGAACAGGCCCAGCCCTCACAAGTTCCGAAAGTCCTCCTCATGAACGATTATGGAGGTCAGATAGCTCCATGGTTCACTCTAAGGGCCAAGCTGCCATTTGCAGAAATGGAAGGCCGGTGGAGAGGCAGAATTCCGCCAGAAATGCCTGAGGACCAAGCAGAAAATGTGATTCGCTGTTGGCGTGGGGCATGGCACGATCTGTTTGGAGAGGTCCTCGATTTCCATGACATTGTGCAAGCCTTAGTTCGCATAGTGACGTCGCCATGTAGGGCGTGATAGGGTTAACGACTGCCAGTGACTCCATCTCCCCCGCTCTCAACTTGCAGCGTTGGAGATTGCAAGATGCAAAATGACCAGAACACTGTAGGCACCCTTGCTGCATTTGTTTTGGCCGTGCAGGGGGGTGGCGTGGCCCTTGTGGTAGTTTAATGACCACTTCTGACCGCACTTGCGCGCAGGCGGGGCGAAATCTTTACAGCTTGGCAGAGCCTTCCTAGCTGAAGGCGCCGATCGTTTCTGCAGATTTGGGCAGATCGGCGGAGGCCTTTCAGCAGTGTGTTCCCAGGTTCTGGGCGGTCGCAACTTGAATTGAAGTGGGCATCTGCAAATTGTGGTTGGCCGACTCTAGCCGCCAGCTTGCACGGGTGAACTTCTTGCCGGCTAGCCCCGAATGCCCCAAAACATTTTCCTAGAAGACAAGCAATCGGAGCCTTGGCAACGCAAACCTAACCCAAACCTGCCGACCTAACGCCTCTGCTCACACGATCACGAATGCTTTGCAGTGGGCTCTCAAAGCACCAGGTTGAGCGGCTGAAAAGGGGGAGGACACCGCGATTTGGTGCAGGCTTATGATCAGCTGATGCCATCATTTCACTCCACTTGCTTGCGCCGCACGCGTTGCGTGAAAATTCAGCTGGGCGCAGTTCAACTGCAGACCGAACCATTCGTGGCCACCTCATCCCGCCTGGGATTGTAAGCTCCAGCCAACATTGTTTCCTGGTGAGTGGGTTCAGAGCACCAACTATTTCTTGAAGCGCCAGCGTGTGACAGTTTGGATGCTGCGCCGAACTGGCCCTAAATGCACGAGCCACCGTTTGAGCTAAGAGCCAACATCTTGTTCCGAAAGGGGGGCCTGCGGAAAAGTTTTCTTGGCAAGGGTCCGAGAGCGGATGCCCCCCAGAGCGCGTCGGATAAGAGCAGACGATGCAGCCCAGGAGCCAGGATCTCCAGCTCTGGTATACCCTTTTTGGTCTGCACATGGGCTCGTCGCACAAGGCGCGCCAATCGTTGAAATCCAGCTCGGCCGGTTGTCGGAGGTCTTCGTCAAGTAGAGCGTCGTGTCTGCTCGTGTCTGCGTGTGTTTGTGTGTTTGTGTGTGCCGGTCTTTTCTGCACCGAACCGATCCTAAAATCACGAGCCCTTTGAGCCGCAACTGTGTTCCGAAAGCCGTGGCAAGTGGGAGACTTGCAGAAAAGCTTGTGACCGTTGTGCGGCGTAGACCCAGCATACCCGGCTTGGTGCGGCCTTCCTGAGAAAGGCATCACTGAGCAGGCTTCCATTCCCCGGAATGGCCCTTTTGCAACACTCGGTGGCTGCACCAGCAGTTCGGGCAGGGTTTAGAGGGTTCCAGTGGCACAAGGGCTGATGCTTAGGGTTTTAAGCTCCGGCTACACCGGCGCTAGGAGAGCTTTTGGCGTTCGCACATCGTGCCGATCCAAACTTGGCCCTTCCGCCTCCGTTGGCTACACCGATGCCATCCCAAAGTCCTTATACGCTCTAAAAAACTGAAACTCTGCAGGTCCTGAAGCCTCACAAACCCTAAACTAGAGAGTAGTTTCTATGTACTTTCATACAAAACAACAAGCCGTAGATCCTTACAGATCCAAAATTAAACCCCTCCTTGATCTCTTGAGCTCCTCGTCGCCCCAGTCCGCTGGGCAGCCCTTTTGCCACAGCCTCTGCTGTAGTTGCTGTAGACGATCGAAATTGCTCAACTTAGGTCTTAAAGTGCCGCAAGGTCGCCGCTGTTGGCCTGTTACGAGCAGCAGGCGCCGAAGAATCAGCAAGAAGTGAGCGCTTCTGTCCACTTAGGCTTTGTTGCGCACGTTGCCGAGAGATCCAAATTTGTGTTTTGTAGGTGATTTAGGTGCATTTTCGAAAGCACGTGACCAGAATAGTAAATTTCTGCCTTGCAGTGGTCTTGGAGTTGTGACAGGCCGTGAAATCATGCGAAAGCTTGGGAGACGCTGCCTGTCATATCGGCTGCGCCTCAGGCGCTTGAAGCTCACGCCTCCTAGGATGTGTGAGGGTGGATGCGCACACCCTCGGCAAAGATGCGTTGTCTGTCCTACGAACTCCGGCTTTATGCTTCAGACTTGAAACATACATAGGCGCTGCATTGCGAGGAGAGGCCTCGAAGGTTCCGTTGGAGCTCTGTGCCCTCAGTGTCCCTTGTGTCGTCTCCGAGCTCTGCAGCTCCGATGTGGCTTTCTTGATACCTTTTGGACTTCCACCGGACAGGCAAAGCCTCCGGTGGCGGTGTGGCGGCTGCGGGGTTACGACCTGCCTCTGCAGACCACGGCAGGCCACGGGAGAGGGGTGCGCGCAGGGTTGCCTGAGAGCGGCCGAATGTGTCCCGGCACGTGCAGCTCCCAGGGCCAGCTGAGTGCGGAGCATAGTCAGCTCTTCTGGCTCTTTCGGTCATTCCGTTATCAGCTTTCGCAGGACGATGGCCAGATGGCTGCAGTCCTCATCTGCCCTACCTGCCCTAAGCCTTCTGGGCTCAAAGATGTGCGGGCCTTGTGTGCTGCAAACAGCTCCGGCTAAGTATCCGCTCCCATTGCTGTAGATACAGCTCCGGGCTTAGCTTGTGCGCTTGCGGCATGCGGACAGCACATCGCGAGCTAAACAAGCTGAGTCCTTGAGCGCACTGTCACCGCACAGGGGCGACTCCCCACTCTAGATCAGAACGCTGAGAAGGGCGGCTTCTAGCAGGTGGACTACTCGATGTGGGCACATGGTCCATGGTCGTACGGGCAGAGGCGGTATCTTGTTGAGGTCTTCCATCGACGTATTCAGTATCGGTTCCGTTCACTAAACAAGTCAGTGAGGGCTACTCTGGCAAAGACATGTTCGGGCTGCGTTGGCAGCTTGACTTGTTCTTCTCAAGGCTTGCGAAGATGCCCTTTTGAATTGAAATTGAGGTTGCCCAGAATGCCGCCGCAAAAAGGAAGTTGTTGTCCGAACAATTCGTCCGTGTTGCGCGCCATAGAATCGCAATTTGTTGTTTTGGTCGGCAAGATAATGTAATAAATTGATAAGGATGACGTATTTATTGAATCGATGACAAGAAATTAAAGATCGAGATTACTATTCGGGTGGTCGGAATATATCTAAAATATTTAAATATCATATCTGAGAAATATATCTTCTCGAAAAAAGTATAATGGTAATCGATAAATCTAAGGTAGAAATCTTAATTTAAGAAGAATATTAATAATCATCATTTTGAATGAGATGATATTCTATATTCGTTAAAGAGATAAAATACATCTAATATTTTGATATAAAGACAATATAATATTACGATTATATGTATTTTCTATATTATTCATATTTCGAAATATTTAAGCTCAAAATTTTGAGGGTTGGTTTCTAGATATCGGGGAGAAAATCGATTTGGTCTATCTATTTTTGGAAAATTTCGTGATTATTCTCTATAGAGTATTTGTTTAATGGATTCTTATATTTAGGATAAAGGAATTGATTATGATGGAGCATATGGGAATGGGGGGGGGGCGGGGATTTGGATTCTATGTGTTCGTCATGATTTCACACGAATTCTGGTTTGTTCTATCTTCTTTTGACTTCTTTTGGGAGGTCTTTGGGATTTTCGTTGCGATATTTTATATTTTCGATGTCGACATTATGATTCGTTGTTATATTTCGGCATTCTCATTAAGGTTTCGTATGAGTTTTTGTTATGATATATACGAAGGATGGCTCTTCGTTTCGATGATTAATACTAAAATATTCATGGCATAATTCTCATATATTTATTTTCTTGGATTATAAATGAACGTAATGAATGCGTGAATATAAAAAGAATGAAAATGAAATATGGATGAATTAAATAAAAAAAATATTCTATATTCTATTTATCTACGCCCGCATAATTGAAAGATTGTATCTCTTCGGCGGTCTCAAGCCAGATCCTTTCCCGAAATTTCTAGAAAATTTCTGATTCCGAATAATTCGGAATTTCGATTTCTAAATTTCCGGAAAATTTTGGATCATCAATTTCCTAAATTTTCCGAAAATTTTCAGAATGAAAATTTTCGAAAAATTTAGAGAATGGAAACAATTTCATCATTTTCATTTAAATCATATAATGATTTTGTTCGATGATAAATTATGCATTATTCTAGGTTATGAGACCAATAATTACCGATATATGGCAAGGTTTGACTTGACCGAGATTTATCTCGATTTAGCGCTCAGGGCTAGTGTGATGACCCCTCATTTAATCATCTCCAATCTTATAATAAGATTTCGTCAAAGGCTGAACTTGTCCCCCGACGTATGGCTTCTTCGAAGAGGTTTTTGAAATATCCAATATCTGAAATTATAAAAGAATATATATATAAGGAGATTTAAATTCAATAATCTGATTTAAGAAAATTTTCCAATGAATATTCTATGATCATTATTACCTGATGATGAAGATGAGGATTTCGGGTCAATCGTCCATAATCTATATAATAGGATATTTCAGACGAGATCCCGATCATTATTTGACTCCCCTTGCACGTATCATTGCAGCGCACAGCACTCCCTTTCTATCCTTGCGGCTTGGATATGCAGAGTTCCCATATTGCGATAGTCTTTCCAGATCTGATCCATTGATTATAGCACTGCCCGAATTCTAGAATCATT